AGAAAGGAATTATTTTGTATTTGGAAATAATTTGCGACGTAAAGGCTAACTAGTTTATTACTCTATAGCTTTAAATATAAATATATATTCAAAGTTATTTCAGAAATGGCCAGTTAGCATATATATTGCTGGCCATCTATGTGATCTTGTCCTGGCCTTCAAACTCACCAGACATCACTCCTTGCATTTTGGGAAGGGGTATATTGTTGTTTTCTTCTGCTGTTATCATCTTACCATGGTGAATTCCATTATCCATGCCATTGCATCAGACACATCTGTTGAGCTTCAGCTTATGAGTTTAAAATGGACTAGAGAGTGGATACAATCCAATCACATTAATGCAAATACATGTCAAAAGCCAGAATAATCACCTTTCACAGCGCTGACCACTGCAAGATATGCGGGAAGAGAGTCACTGAAGTTAGGAATCTGTAGGATGCCGATTCCAGTGTCGTGGCTGCACTAGTTTGTGTGGTTTAAGATACATGCTGTGAACAAGTAAATTAAGGTGGTTCAACAGATCCTCAATTAGGCTTAAGTCCAGAAAGTTTGGTGGCCAGATGAGTGTGGTAAACTCATCCTGGTGCTTTTTGAACCATGTATGTACACTGTGAGCTGTATGACATGTTACACTGCCTTGCTGGCAGTTGTTGTAGGGTGTTTGCTTTCAGATGTTTCATGTCGTATATGCCAACACCATCTATCCAATGGAGCATAAACTGTTACTTATTAGAAAAAGCCACCTGTCACTATTCAGTGGACATCCAGTTGTGATACTGGCATGCAAATTCCAACCTTCGTCACCTATGAACAGCAGTCAGCATAGGTGCCTTGACCAGGAATCTGCTTTGGACCTTTGTACGCAGCAACATTCACTGAACTTTTGTTAACGTACTGCTGCCGTCCTCCTGGTTTATCTGGATGGTCAGTTACTTAGCGGTGCTCATCTATTTACACAAATGCATCTCTACAGGTGTTGTTCATCTGTATCATCATCTAAAGCACAAGGTACACCACATTGGATTTTGGATATTGTCTTTTTGCTATGTAAACTTTAACCACAGTGGCACTCAAACAGTTTGCAAAATTTGCCATTTCGTAAAAGCGTTAGCCCTTGTCCCTACAGCCAATGTTTTTTGCCTTTTGATGATTAGATCCTTTTGGGCATCAAATAAATTGCTCCATTTTTGCATTACACCAACAATTGCAATATATTTTGCTTTCCTCCAGCAGCACCCTTTGTATATCATCCACTGCTTATCGTGCCACCTGGCTTCTGCAACTGGTTACTTCAGGTTTATGCTGAAAGTAGGTAGTGGTCACATTAATGTTACTGCCCCAAAAAACTCTCACATAGAGAACATCTAACATATAAACAGATCAACTGTTATTAAGCCAGGGTGTACATGGTCTTTAAAAATATAATGTTTGTTCTGAGGGGTAGACAACTTTTAATCCTTGAAAGTCCTAGATTTTGGCTAAAATTTCCAAACTCTTTGCTTATTTGACATTCATCCCTTTTCTGCAGCTGCCATTCTAAGTATGAATTAACATTTCGAATGCCTATAGAATTTGAACTGTGCAGCTCCTAATGGAGCCATTACAAAGAGACCAATGACATACATAAAGAGGAGCAAAATCAAAATGTTTTAGAGAGCCTGATTGATTGTTTACCTAATCTTTGAAATCTGAAGTTATCAACAGTAATACTGTGGGAGGTATATATAAGTTTTGCTAATACGTATTTTAGTTTGTTAGCCTTTTCTGTCATCTCTTGTTTCTCTCTCATTTCCTTGCCAGAATGCAAAAATTCTTGAACAAGAGTGTATTAAACTGAAGAAGTAAAAAGGTTAGTCAGAGCGTGTTTCACTATTCAGTGTGCACAATGTTGTTCCTACCAGCTATTTGAATTCTGAAACGCGGCTTCGCATTCTTGCTACGAAAGTTTAATATCATGCCAGTATAGGTTTCTGAGCCAACCTGCTGGATTAAATTAATCTGCGTAGATTTGAACCATTAGCATATCTTTAGAAATATAGTTTAGCTTACTATTATTTTTAGTTTTATTGTCACAAGTGGATGGTGGATTTGTAATTAGAAAGATTGTGCTGTCTGTATATAATTGAGTTAAATAAAAGGGTTTTTTTACACTCTTACCCTGTTGCATTCATTTTCTATTCATAGCAATAAGTCGATAACAGACTTTTCAAGTAGGTCTAGTAGCTGTTTATGCAAGAAAACTGAATCTTATAACTGTATGTATGCATGTAAATTCAGAGAAAGATTTCATGGTCGTACACTTAATTGCTGTGAGAAAAGTGTAAACTTCAAGAAGGGCAAAGTGTAAACTCCATAAATGTGATCCTTCCACCCACTGTTATCAATGAGTTTAGAAATATTTCAGAATGGGAACAAAAGATATGAATAAGGCACTCGAAAAAGGTGGAAAAAGGATGTTGTAGAAAAATCTGCCAGAATTACGAGTAAATTTGGGGAGGGCTACCTATTTATGCAGAAAGTTCAGTTCAACATGTCATACAGCTCACAGTGTACATACATGGTTCAAAAAGCACCAGGATGAGTTTACCACATTCATCTGGCCACCAAACTTTCTGGACTTAAGCCTAATTGAGGATCTGTTGAACCACCTTAATTTACTTGTTCACAGCATGTATCTTAAACCACACAAACTAGTGCAGCCACGACACTGGAATCGGCATCCTACAGATTCCTAACTTCAGTGACTCTCTTCTCGCATGTCTTGCAGTGGTCAGCGATGTGAAAGGTTATTATTCTGGCTTTTGACATGTATTTGCATTAATGTGATTGGATTGTATCCACTCTCTAGTCCATTTAAAACTCATAAGCTGAAGCACAACAGATGTGTCTGATGCAATGGCATGGATAATGGAATTCACCATGGTAAGATGATAACAGCAGAAGAAAACAACAATATACCCCTTCCCAAAATGCAAGGAGTGATGTCTGGTGAGTTTGAAGGCCAGGACAAGAACACATAGATGGCCAGCAATCTATGTGCTAACTAGCCATTGCTGAAATCACTTTAAATATATATTCACATTTAAAACTATAGAGTAATAAACTAGTTAGCCTTTACTGCAAATAGTTTCCAAATACAAAAGAAATTCCAACATTGGTGAGTATAACACAAAATGATTGTGCTCAAGTATAATGCTGAATGAGATAAATTTTCATATACTATTTTTATGATTGTTAAACAAGGCTAATAGAAGAATGTAATTTTTCTTGTAGAAAAAATTAGAGTTCCTATCAGAAAAGTAAAATTTTCTTGCTTAAAATTTTACATTAACAGAGGTTTTATATGGAAAAAATGCGTGCTTGTAATTTATGATTAATTAAAAAAAAAAAAAAAAAAAAAAACAAACCTCAAACGATTTTCTTTTTTCCCCCGTCCAATAGACTTAAACTTTTAACTTTTTGTTTAGATCATATAAAAAAAGGACAAACTGATTGTTATTTGATATTTTTACAGCTTAAATATCTTGCCATGTTTGCATGCATTTTTAAACTGCACGACGCAGGAAAAAAAAGAACAAAAACATACTCCTATCAATATTTTAATTACCAATTTGGATAATTAACATGTTCCCAACACTTTTAAAGAAAGCTTTAAACCATCTTTTGCAGAGTATTAAATACATATAAAACAGCAATTCCAATTGCAAATTAAATTCTTGTGATATAACCAGATATAAATTAGAACAAATAGCAATACTAAATATTCAAAATCGCTTATTTCACTTAGGAGAAAAAGTTGCATATTTACTAAAATCAGAAATAAAATAATAAAAAAAATAAAAAAAAAATCTGAAGTGGACAAAACAAGATGTTCTGTATGGCCTATTAAATTACACACAGATTTAGCTAGCAGGCAGGAAGATAAAATTTTTGGTACACAAAACTGACAGTCGTATTTTGGCCCCTACTGGGCAAAAGGATACTGATATTGGTGCAAAAACTAATTTAATTCATTATTTTACTAAAAGTTTCAAATGTAAACAAATGGCAGCCTTGTTAGGCCTAGTGCCTTTTAAACTTTTAAACTGTTGGTAATTTTTTAGCTATTGCATGCAGATTAACTAAAGGCATAAAAACCTTAACCAGGACATAAGAACAACATAAGTCATCACTTTTAAAGCAAAAAAATGAACTGAACCAATATATATATACACATTATATATGTTGGTTCAGTTCATATATATTCTTATACCAACATATAAGAATAAAAAAGTTAAAATTTACTAACATGTAATAATAATAATAATAATTAAAAAAAAACTCATTGAGCAGGGTAATAAAGTGGGAATATATATATACACAAACACGTTTGGTGCAGCCGACTGTAACGAAAAAGGGAGGTGCATAACTACTTGTTATAGCAGTCCTATATACAAAATTTCAATGCTCTACGGCTGTTCGTTTTTGAGTTATGTGTACCTGCATACAGACATTACGAAAAATCTCTTCTGAATTCTCCAATTTAGAATTCGTTTTAGAGGTAAGAATCCTTTAAAAGTATCTGTATGTACAGACATCATGCAAAAATATAGTTTAAATGGATTCGAGGGCAATCAAAATGAATATTTTCATTGAAATATGATACCCCGAATTTTTCAATTAGAATACTTCCTTTGCTTCATAGAAGGCAATAAAATCTCTTTTGTCTTTATCACTTTGCATTCTATGCAAAAACATGGCTCTATGGGAATATGGGATGAAGCTTAAAAACAGAGCATGGGTCAGTTAGATTAATTGTTTGTCATGCAAACGAGTTGAGCAAGAAATTTGCAGATCAGCATAGGTAGTCTTGCAAAGCTGTAAAGATTTGCAAAACTAGTGATGTTGATTTGGACAATAGTTCATGTACTATTGACTTTTTTTTTCCTTATAACACTTTACTTTAGTCAGTTGAAAAGATAACTTGATATAAAAATTTGTACAACATAATTATATATTACCTGCTTATTAATATGAGTAGTTAAATCACTCATTATCTTTTGAACAGTTGGAATAAGTGGTCCTTGATAATCAGCTTCATCAAAATTTGGTTCCTGATAATAATTGAATATGCCTTGATAACCTGGTAAATTCTGAATACCTATACAAAGAAGGAAAGAAAAATAAGAATACACCATGGTTTGTTTAACTTTCAAAAAAATTTCTAAACAATTAAAATATACTGATATACAGTAATTAATAATTTAAACTAATTGGGACAGCATAAATCATACAAGAATTATGTTTGAAAAATACCAGAATGTGCTACTGTGTGTAATATTTTTGTCAATTTTCCAGTTGCAAAAAGTTGCTCTGTAGATTATGAAAGAGAAATTTCAGTTAAATAAAAAGTAATGTTCTGTTATTGGGACCGGAATCAGAAATGTATGAATGTATGTGCGTGTGCATGTATGTGCATATATGTGTGTATGCATGTACACACATACATCCATACGTACAAACATTTCTGAATCTGTTCCTGATAACAGAACAGTACGAAATAAAAACATATTCAAACAGTAATGCTAATGATGTCCACAGCAGAATTAAAACATTTTTAACCCGGTGGAAGGCGCGCGCTAAACAGAGCACATTTTGGTCGCGCGGGGTACCTGTATAACCCCACCGATAAATTTAAGCTTAATTCAATATACACATATAAACTTAAGTGCAAATAAATTGAAAAGGTATAAAATACAGTTTTTTAGTATATTCTAAAGCATGAATATTAATTTGAAAATATATTTACGTTAATTTCTACTACTAATGTTTATAGGAAAAAACTTACTCAATTACAAAATAAAAATCAGTTACAATACCTTTATTGAATTTTAAACACATTTGGTCACAAACATAATTAGAGTGATCCTTGCAAGTAAAATTTGGGCATTTTCATACAAGAAATTGTTGTTTTTTTTTGTCCTTAGCTCGAGGACATATTGTACATCGTCCTTACCAAGCTTCATTCTCTTTGGCAAGTTCTCTTCAGAAACGGCATTCCTTTCTGTTGAGAAATTCTGATTCATTTTCTCCTCGTAATTCTCTGGGTAACATTTGCATATTTGATCTCCTCTTTTATTTGTGGGTTTACGAGAGATAATGCCAATGTTTTCAAAAACATTCGTCTACTTTTATACTGCAAGGGAGGATTTTTAGTAGACATAAGTGACACTCGCGCGTTTATACCAGCCACGTTCAAACACAGTAAAAAATCACCATAGGCCACCTGTTTGTTTTCCTAGCTGTTGAATAAAGCGTAGACATTTCATCAACAGTATCTACTCCTCCTTTCGTTCCATTGTAGAAATGGATTATTTCTGGCTTACTTTGTTCAGAGTTTTCATCTATCGTGTCATCATGATGCATTGTAGACAGAAGAACTACACATTTCGATTTCTTTGGAACATATGATACTAATGTCATGTCTTTTTTGGAATCCAAACATGGAAGAATATACTTCTCTTTTCTTTGTTTCTAAAATTCAGCAGGAATTACAGCTTTATTTTTCTTCAAAGTTCCCACTACAGTGAGTTTCTTTGATAGGAGCTCTTTTGCTAGCGGGTAACTTGTATACCAATTATCCATGGTTATATTCCTCCCAGATCCAAATAATGGAGCACAAAGTCGTTTTACGATCTCAGATGGCGAATAATCAACTTTGAAAGGACCATCCGATTGTTTCCCCGCATAAATTTCCATATTATATGTATAATATGTCCTGGCATCGACTACGGCAAATAATTTAATTCCATATTTTGCCGGCTTTTTCGGCATATACTGGCGAAAAGCACATCGGCGGCCACGAAATTTCTCCAACTTTTCATCTATTGTAACATATTCACTAACTGAATATATTTCTTGACATTTTTATTGAAATCGCTGAAGAAATCTCTCACAGCTGCCAGCTTATCCAACTGTCTTCGAGCTTCGCGATCGTTTACATTGTCTAATCTCAAGCACCTTAGAAGAAAAGTGAATCGTTTGTAAGACATTGTCTTTTCGGAATAATTCAATTCCGGTGCCATCAGCGTCCCCACAAGTCTTTTGCATTAGCATGAGAAGATTTTATGCAATCCGCATAAATATAAAAGACCAACAGTGCTCTCATCTCCACTTCATTCTGTATGCCTAGCATCTCGACTCCGTTGAAAATTTTCGGATATTTTATCAATAAAAATATTGGTGCAGTCCACAATATTTTTTATAATATTGAAATCCATAAAAAGTTCCCAACTTTCAATTGGTTCCATAATACTTATTGCAACTGATTTCAGACCTGGTAAGTGGGTTATAATAACAGGAACTGGTTCTTACCTTCTGATTCGGTTTACTTTTCTTCCAAACTGTTTTATTTTTTCCTATATAACTGTCACTTTTTTCATTAGATTCAAGCGTTTTATTTTCAGCTTCAAACTCACTGTCGCTGTCATGACTGCTATAAATTTCTTGATCTACTTCATTTTCACTAGCAGTATCCATTTCTTCATCGGAAGTTTCCACAGTATCCAATAACATTCTCAAGTGTTCCATTTCTTTTTCATAATCTGTCATTTTTCGTTTGAGAGCCATTTTCGAACGACTACAGTATAGCACACATGCACAATCTATGCAAGCAAGAAGCTAAAGTGAGAAATTTCAGACAAATCTGGTCACGGGGGTTCCCAGGTTACCCCAGTTGCATGTAGCGTTCCAAGAAATGATTGCTCCTCCCCAACAAAAAAACACCTGCTGCTGGCAGGTGCTATTGAAAGAAAAAACCGTTTAAAAAGTTAGCTACTGAAGGGCTGATTCATAGCGGATAAATAGAAATTCCCAGAATGAAAGGTTTTATGAGGCTGGGGTGACTCAGTCACCCCGCGCGAGTGCTACCGGGTTAACACATGCGTTTTTATGTGGAATGCAATCAGAATGATTATACTACATGATTTTAATCAAAGAATTTACAACAGAGAACTATAGACAAACTAATACCTACTAAATATATTTATAAACATAATATTATCAAATTATACTGATGTATTCCTTAGAAAACAACGACACTTAAGAACTATAGTAGTATCATGTTAATGTTTAAGAAGTATAGCACTGCATCTTCATATTTGTATTTTCATCAGATAAAACATGCAAAAAGCCAAAATATTTACTTTTTTATTTAAATTGAAGAAAGGTACACATACTTTTTTAATCCCTTATCTGGAGCACAGTTTAACAAAACTTATTCAAAATCATCAAATTTTTTATTGATGATTTTAATGTTTATAAAAGTCAAAATAAATTCATATAAATAATACTAAATTTTTTTATTCTTATTACTTACCTTATATTTGGCTTTCCTCCTCGCATATACAAGATAAACAGAAAAGTTTCAATGCAGGCATTTATGAAATGTATGTAATTTTTAGAGAAAGAATTGTTATGTATGCTTCAAATAATGGACAGTATTATTTGCAAATGATGATGCTTTTATTCAACATCAGTAATAGCTATAATATTTTTTTCAAAAATTAAAATAAAGTTTGAAATACAATAAGCAGAGTCCTACATTACAATCTTTACAACAATACTTCATTTCTTTAACTCACTTTCCATTTGCATTCTTCTTAAATGAACACACTTTACATTCTCAGGCAGTTTTTTTTTTTTTCCTCTGTAGGTTGTTCAAGTTGGGGGGGGGAATAAAATGAAATAAAATAAAATAAACATAAGGATATCACATAATTTTGGTAAAATGTAATAATTATCTAAGGTGATGCAGGAGTCTGGTTTCAATAATGGCATCACCAAAGTCATAACAGCTTGTGAAGATACTGACAAACATTGGAATCCAAGATAAAATAAAGTATCTTTCTGGTACGTATAGGGTGGGTAAAATAGAAAATATTTATAAGATTTACAAAGAAATGACTTTTTTTTATGAACAGGAGAGTTTCCCATACAAGAAAGGGTTGGAAATGGCTACCATTGACATCAATGCAGCACTGTTCTTGATTTATCAAACTGTGAGACACATTAAGCAGCTGTCTCAGGGATAGCAACAATAGCATTTTCAATGTTCTGCTGCAGCTTCTCCAGTGCCTGATGATTATTTGAGTGCACTTGACTCTTCAATTTGCCCCACAGGTAAAATTCACAAGGGAGAGATCATGCAATCAAAGGGGCCAGGAGACTGCACGGTCTCTGATGATTGTCTTCTTGTCAAACACTTCCTACATTCTTGGCAAGGTGGTCATGGTAGCGTTTGCTGCTTTTGATTCTGATCTGAAAAAAAGGCTGCCTTCTGAATCACTTCCTGATTCTTGAAGACTTAAATTTTGTTCACTTGAGCTACTCATTTTCCACATGTTAAGCATGAAAAAATACAAGTACTCAAATTGAACCTTTCAAAGCATCTTCTAATGGAAAAAATATTCTAAATCTGTATACTACTATATAATCAAATTACAAGTACTGTGCTGCCATCTGTGAATCTGCTGTGCAAATAAAATTGGTATAAGTGCAATAAAAATTGGAATTTCCATGACTTTTTACTGCAAAAGTGCAGCCTATGCCACTTCTACTATCATATATGGGCATAATAAAATATATTTGAACAGGCTGCTTAAATGAGAGATGGGTACAATGACTAAGGAATTAATAAAAAATAGATATTTTCTTACAGGATTAGAAAATGTGAAATGATTAGAACACAATAGCAACAAAATAAAATTATGACATAAATTTTTTTTTCAATTGTTTCTCTAAAATATCTTCATTTACATTTACTTACTTTTTTAATAAATAATTGTATAAAAAGTTAATTAATAGCTATGCCTATAAATCATGGATGATTACCTTTTATGCATGACAACACATGTAATAAAGGCAAAAGCAGCCACATTTACTTTTAAAAAAGACTCATAACTTATTTGGTTTATGAAAAAAGGTAAAATGCAAAAATATCATTCAACATTTGTCTTACCCAATGACTAAAAATATGACTTTCAATCTAAAAGAACACCGAGTTTTATGGCTTTTGCCAAATGCTTCTAAAGTGTATGAAAAGCTACACTGTTAAAAGTATGAATCAATCTAAGCAATCAAGTATACTATTACATTTTAAGCCTTGTGGCACCCTCAAGCATACAACAGATCCTTTCTCTTATACACCATCCACTGTCTCACAGGAATTCACTGCATCATTGTCACTACCACCAACCACTTCTACTATCATACAGCCATTTGCTTTGGACGAACCAAATGTTTCAACAATTTTTCTTATCTTTTGAAAAAATTATATGTCTGTTTTCAACTAATCAGCTACCAGCATTGAATCCCTTGTTATCATCATAATGGAGCACTAGTTTCCCCTACACATGGTAACCCCAAAGTGATCTGCAGTGACTGGCTGTTTTATATTATGTGACAAAGAAAAATTATACTAAACAGTTGTTCATCTGAGTGCTTTAAATGAGTGATACCGGCTTTAAACCCTCCAAATTATACTCAGTGTTTTTAAATTTTAATACTACAATATATGTTATTTCATCTTATTTGGATTATGCATTTATCATGATATTCTTGTTTTTAAGGCTTAGTCTAGCAATCATGCAAAATTCAGTATGACTAATTTGGTTCTGAATTCCCAAGAATACTGAAAAAAATTTCCTACATGTTAAACCCATTTGATTTACCAAACTTTTCACATGTACACTTAACTTTTAAGTCACATACATAAGTAATTTATCAGTAGTAAAATTATTTTAAAACCTGGGACAATATTTGCAGTGGTACGTCCTTCTCTTTCATTTTCATATTCTTCCCAAGCTGCTTTCCTTTCTTCTTCAGTAAGATCTTCTTCTGTTTCATTTTGAAGAAGTGAATCATGCACATGATATGTAACAATCCAGTCTTTATTTCTAATAAGCATTTCGGCAAGAAGACGATCCTAAATAAAAAAAATTAAAATACTGTGTTTATATAATACAGTTTTAACATTTTATTGATGTTGAAAGCAACTGAGAATTTTAAATGCAACACAAACATTCTGTTGGAAGCTATTCTGCAGACTCATATAAATTTTATAACTGATAGACAATGCTTAAAATATGCTGGTGCCTGAAATTATGTCCACAAAAACACCAATTTGTCAAATCCTGCTCGTTAAAATTTCTACAGTTTTTTTATTTTTTTTTTTTTTTTTATTTTCTGGGTTAAATGATTCCTTGTTTACAATTAGAACAAGAGTCTCAGCATGTGTTAGTAATAAAGATAAAAGTTATGCAAGGAGTTTAGACCTTTTATTAGTACCAAAAATCATGCAAGATTTGATTCCTGCAAGGAAAATTCATATTAAAGTGCAAAAATTTTGTAACCTAAAATTAGCTGATAAGAATTTTAAATGCTTTTAGGAGCATGTACAGAGATGCTTTTAGGAGCTGAAGTTTTCTTTGAAATATTTAAGCCTGAACAGATTCGTTCGGAAAACTCAAGCCTTTTTTCCCAAAACAGGGTATTTGTGTTTACTATGTCTGGAAGCGTTACATCACAAGAACAAAAACACATACGTTGTGGGTTGATGAAAACAACATATGACATTGAACAAACAATGAGAATGCTTAAGAAGGATAAAAACTGCTGAAAAGGAGATAGTAAAAAATAAAGAAACCATAATATATGAAGAGCATTTTCAGAAAACTCATAAAAGGGGTAACTCAGGTAGGTGTGTTGTAACTATGCCTTTAAAGTAAGGCCCCTCATACCTAGGACAGTCAAAAGACCTTGCTTTGAGAAAATTAACAGCCTTGCAGAAAAGATTTAGATCCTGATTACTTAAAATTATACAAAGAGTTTTTAACAGAGTATGAGAAAATGGGACACATGTACGAAGCAATAGAAAAAGAAAATGAGACTGATTCATATTTTATACCCCATTTAGGAGTGTACAGACCTGAGAGAAATTTCACTAAGTTTAGGGTGGTATTCAACCTTTGATGTCTTACAAATAAAGGAAACTTATTAAATTCACTACAGTAAAACGGAGAGTTGATTCAAGATATTTTTGATTTAATGGTTAAGTTTAGAAAGCATCTCTTTGCATTTACTGCCAATACAGAGAAAATGTTCCTTTTGTATGATTTGGATCCCCAGAAGAGAGCAAACTTCAAAGAATACTTTGGAAAGAAGAAACAGATAAACGAGTAAATCTCCGAATCAGTGACTGTGACATATGGAATAGTAAGTTCTCCATACTTAGAAATGTGCACATTACGACAACTACACATAGATGAGTCCAAGGAATTTTCATTAAGGATATCTATATGGATGACATTTTATCAGGAGCTAAGACATTAAAGGATGCTATAGAAGTACAATATCAATTTATTGAAACTTTTAAAAAAGGAGGCATGAGCCTTAACTAGTGATGTAGCAATAATAATAAGCTTAACAATAGTAACAAGTCAACTTACACCTTTTTAAAAGCTGAAGAGACCCAGGAAGATAATTTTTCATTTAAGGTGAAATATAACGATGCAGTTTTACACACTATGTGATATATCTGTACTGTCAATGATAGTACATCTATTTCACACATTGGGATTGCTAGGTCCTATTATATTAAAAGCAAAGATATTTATGGAAACGTTAAGGCTACGGAAGATAGCTTGGAATGAGGTTTTACCAGAAGAAACTTAAAAGAAGTGGCAAAGATTTATGAAGTCCTTACATACAATAAATAACACAAAGATTGAGAGATGCATCACAACAGAAGATGCTATAACAATTGAGTTGCATGGATTTCCAGACAGCTCTTTTGTAACCACGGCCATACATTTGGAATTGGCCTTGTATTTGACTTCAGCTGCCTTTGTAGGTGCACTTAAAAGAGGTTGTGTTTGTAAGAGGGAAATGCAGTAAGCTGTACACAGACAATGAAAAGGGGAAAAAAAAAAAAAAAAGAAATGTTTCAGATTTTAAATTACGTCCAAAGGGGCGTTTTTTTAACGTTTTGAGTGTTACCTTTATTTATTAAATATCATGTTCTTTGCACTTAAACCATAAAATTCAGTTCAAGAGCAATATCGCAAAATAATTTTAAAATTGAGCCATATCTTTAGAATTTCCGATATACAGATCTCGCGAGCTGGAGATAAAAAAGTATTTTTTCTCCGTATATAACGTTTGCCATTGCTCGCTTTTAAATCGTCGAGTTTGTTAATCAAAAATTCCGTTAAAGTTTTGCAAAATATGAAATCGATAATAAAAAAATTTCCAAATTTCAAATTTGGGATTTCAGGATGCCCATATTCGTAGTAGGATTTCGTCATTCAAAATTGGACGGCTCTATGGTACCATTGTTTTATCACAATGCGGAGAAACATAGATACATTTATGCAGATTTTTCATTATTTAATTTCTTCAATATATAATGCAGGACTCTAACATTTTGTGGCAACAGTTTGAAAAGTGAACCGATGTTTATGAGTCCGACGCAAAATCGCAAAACGAAAACAAGTCCTTCAGGGACAAAGCCCCTTTGGACTAAAAAAAAAAAAAAAAAAAAAAAAAATTATATGAACAAATGCAGAGGTAAAACAGATTTCAAGCTGGTAAGTCAGCCAGATAACCCTTTGTCAAAATATATGAGTTCAGAGAATACTGACTGACTGTATTCCCCTCCTCTAGCTCCAAATTTCAGAGGCCTGGGTTAAATCCTTTAAATATTACTGGAAAAGTGTCCCCGGGAGCCATACTTCTCTGGATTGCAGGCCTCACCCTTGGTTAAATTTTGCAAATAGTAGATGGCTTCTCCCAAAACAATATTTAAATATTGTCAGACTGACCAAGTGCAGGGTTGATGGCTATTTCTGGTAGCCTTAGTCTTCCAGAAAAGGAAAAAACTTTGGCGTCTAAATACCTGATTACTGGTAAAGAGTATAAAATATTTAGTGCTAAAATACAGAGCAACATTTTTCAAATAAATAAATAAAATAAAAAATAAATTGTAGTGAATTTCTCCTCAGAAAAGTAATACTTGCGTACCCAGTCACAGACATTAGGCTTAGTGAAACAGCTACCTTTAATCCCAAAACTAAACAAAAACTCCTTTTTAACATCAGGATCTTAAGTCCATTTTAACAACATTTTCAAATCACTGACCACACTACCTAAAATAATTTAACAAATAACAAAAAGGAAATCCTGCTATTCAAGTAATAGCCAAAATTAGGAGTGATATTATAGAAAGAGCAATAAATTCTTATATATAAATGTAAATATATATCTCAAATAACAAAAAATCTGATCATGATAAGAAGCAAAATAATAAAAACATACATTTGGAACCATAGGAGTTGGGCGATTAGAAGTTGAATCTGGATTAAATGTATACAATTCAGCTAATTCTGCAGCATTGAAATGCCGATCAATCTGTTGCTCATCCACCACACGAATTGATAATGAGAGTTTTGTCACTTGACGATCGTAAATCTTTTCTTCCATTGTACCCTATTTTCAATTACATTAATATGATATAAATTTCCTATTTTTAAATATATTATACAAGAGATTAAAAATCAATGTTTTAGCACAACTTAGATAAAATTAAGAAATATTACATTATATCTTTCATTCTCAGTTCAAATATGCAACATGTTTAGACAACAGAAATCATATGTATAATATAAACCCTAATCTATTGCAAAACTAAAATAAATGTTATAATTATATCACATAAATAATAATATACATTATATTAATTTAATATCATAAATAATATATATATTAATTAAAAATAATGCTACATAAATAATATATATATTAATTAAAATAATACTACATAATAATATATTATATATATATATATATATATATTAATTAAAAAAAATAATATTACATATATAATTTTGTATCAGCTTATCCTAAAAAACACTTACTACTTTCAGTTACTTCAGTACTTTCAGTATTTTATATTTTTAATTACCACAAAGCATGTTGAAAATATTACCATAGTTTTTACATTTCACTCAAAACATGAAATTTTAGGTCAAATTTTGTTAAGGTGGTTTGTAAAATTATGCACTTTAAATGCTCAATTATGCTTTAAAAATTTAATAACATAAAATTAATAATAATCTTTCAAAAAATTACATGTGTTTATTCATGCTAATACATAAAACTCTGTGGCAGAAGATTTTTTTTTTTTAAAGCATTTTCCACATTAAAACAGATAAAATTTTTATGAAACAAATTCTTTTGGGATTTCAAGATTTTTCTCTAAAAAGTACGAGAAAATTAAAAGAAATGTAGTAATATGTGCAGTGTGATTTGCTCAAAGAAAATGCCACAGATTACTGACTGAACTTTTGTTAACATGTTTTCTTAAAAACACAGGTTATTGAAAGAGAAAATGTGGCAACCTTAACCTTACGATAACAATTTTTAACATGTATATATAAATATACTAAACATAATTTTATATGAAGTTTTAAAATATGACCACCTTATCTATTTTCTAGCATAGAAAATTTAGTATTTATTGAAACAGGAAGAAATATTATTGAAACAGAATTATATTATTATCAGAACAGAATCATATTATTGAAACAGAAAGAAAAACACTTGACTCAAATCCAATGTATATTTTTAGTTCACCATGGATTCACCCAGTTTTGCATGGTTTGATAGTTTCTCACATGTAAAACAGGTACATGAATCAGTTTTTGTGAAAGTTCATAAGGGCATCTTTTTAAGGCAAATACACCTCAACAGCTTAGCAAGAATACATAAAGAAATTAATAAATAAAAATATATACTTTGATAATAGCTACTGTCTTTTTAATCCAACATGAATGCAATAAAGAACCACATATAATTTTATGCAGGAAAAATTTAGATAAAACAATCAAGTAGGTCCAAATGCATATTTTCACAAAAAATGACAGTGAATACAGTCCCCTCATGATTAACTCTGGTAATTTTGCAGATAGTGTTCATACCTAATCCAAAATCATGGTTAATATTAACAGAAAAGTTCTATTAACAATACACCTTATTTCCTTGGAGTTTAAGAATAAGTTCATTTGGTTGGTAAATTAAATGAGCACTGAAAATAGGTGCATAAATCAAAACAGAACAGAACAATACTTTCATTTGTATTCTCCTGTATTTTGAGAGGAATTTATAAGGAACAAAAGACTGTAGTTAATTCAATTTTGTGATTTAACAATATTTATACACTCTGAATTATGTGCAATTAAATTACATACTCTTGTAGATAAAAAAATTCCTATATACTTTAACATCAACAGCGATCACTACTGCAATTCGAAACATGTTCTCCTCCTTTTTACATTTCTCAAATAATTTTGCTATATTTTGAAGTTTTGTGATTAAATTTTCCCATAATTCTTCAATAAACATACTATTTTTTTTTTTTTTTTTTTTTTTTTAAAGACCCAGTTAATTCACTTCTAGCTAACCAGACTAGAATACACTTAAAAATGTCTAAACAGTATGTTTTAAAAGAATGGCACTTTTAAGTCTTATCAATTACCAGAATTTTCAGGAGAGAAATATAGTATCTACAGTGATATAAAAATCTAGCACTGTCCATAATATTAATCTAGCATGAAAATAATTTGCACAGTTCTTTGGTCTTCGCAACATAGGTCTGTAATATTAAGATGTTATCATTAAGCTCTATTTTTTAGAAAAAAATTGAGAAAGAATGCTGATCAACATTAGTAATGAGTGATGAAACTATGCTGTTGATTTTCTCAGTATGACAGCAAAAAGAAAATGAAAGTACATTTATGCTGTTGATTTCCTCAGTACGATAGCAAAAAGAAAATGAAAATATATAGGTTCCATATATAGGTTCAATATTGCAAATAATGCAATAAAAATATCAGTTGTTAATAATGAGGGATTAAACGATTAAACCTTGACTTAAAAATCAATCACCATTGGCAGCTGCATAAAAAACATTGAAAAACCTTCAAAATTTAGCACATTTAGAGACAGCAAATGAACTTCAAATTAAAAAGGACTTTTGGTCAACATATTTGCGGTGTGTTGACCTAAATTTTTACTTTGTTTTTAACTTTACTTTAACTGTAAGCAAGGCTATAAGAGAAAAGCCAGTCCAATAAATAAATAATATCAACATTTAAGAAAGTCAATGTGAAAATTTGTATTTTCATCAAAAAATTTATGTGAGCAAAACTTCAAGCGCAGTGATTTGGTATAAAGAAGTCAAAAATCAATTTGAAAGTTTGATTATACACACTAACCTATACAGAAACTAAGCCAAATAGAATAGTATAACATTAATATGTTTATGCAACATACTAAATAATTATATGCAATATTTTTTAAATACTGAATAGTATCATATTTATCAGATCTTGTTATGTGAATAAAGAAATAAAAGAAAATTTACTAAAAAAATAATATAGCAGACGATTCAAAAAAATAACAGAAAGAGTAAAAATTCAATAATAAAAGAATTATAGCTAGTAGTTGATGTTATTTTCTGAGACATGCAAAGAAATACCTAAGATTAAGGGTAAAGGGTCACAAAGAGTCAAATTTTTTGACATTTTTTAATTGCTTATAAAATTTATTTAATATCTGAAGAAAGTATTTTTAATGTTGTAAATCCAAACAGGAGACCTAAAAAAGTCCCCATGGAGCCAAGGCAGATCAGAAGAGGACTGGACAGCTAAGAAACACAAATTAACAGCACAAACAGACGGTTTTGCAGACCAGAAAGATATATTACATAGCTCTGGCATTGCAGATTAAGCTTATATAGTGGTATTTATTCATCAGGTTACTTGTACCACATTCCTTTAAGGATACACAACAAGGCTTCCCATGTGTTACACCCCATTTTAGTTAGGGATTCTGAGCTCACAAGGATCAATGCACCACACCATGCAGGATGCAGAGTGAACAGTTGAAGAAAGACTGGCTACTGCACCACTACTCAGATGGCTGAAACCACCTGCCTTTCGGACAGTGTAGACTGCACTTTCCAGCACCAGGTGCGTGTACCATCAATGTCAAGGCTGCCTAGGTACAGATCCTAGCCAACATACTAGTCAACTTTTTTTTGGAAGGGGAAGGGAGATACATAGCCATATGCCCACTTAACAATTACTTGACAACTAGCTTTTCCTATTGAAAACTTCAACCATCTGAGCATTACAGGTTTTGCCTTGAAATTTTAAATTCCCCAAAATATTATGAAAAAATGGTGTTTTTTAAAATTATAATTAAAAATGACTTTCTCACTTTGTACCTTTATTCCTTTTCTTCCAATATACATCCAACCTGAAATCAGATACATTAATAACTAAAATCAATAAAAATTGTTTTTGATTTTTTAAAAAGTGTCCTGAATTTTTAATTTCAGATAATTAGGATGACCTACAGCCAGCACTGCACCAACAAAAAGGGGAGGAAAAGAGAGTCAACTTTGCGCAGATATAGCAGCGTCATTTTGAATTTTTTGACAACTTTTTTCCTTAGAGCATTTATAGTCAATATTACAATGCTCATTAGTGAAACTAATCATTTTTAAATGACATCATAAATTTGAAAACTGGACCTTTCAACAGATAGAAAACAATGCACATTGGCTGTCATCCCTCTTTTCAACAGAGCAAGTATTTCATAGTGTAACATTCATATACAGTGTCTCACAAAAGTGATGGGACACTTGTGCTTTACGAAAGGAAACTGTAGTAAAATAAATTAAAAAAACGTAAAAATTTTTTGTGGGTGTGTTTCATACTTAAATTTAGTAACAATTATTACATAACATACATTTTCTCAAAATATTAAAATAGTAATTTAATAAAAATACAATTGTTTAGAACGGAGCAAAAATGGCTCACATAAGTGATGGGACACTTACTTTTCTATCAAATATTTATCCAAAAATTTTACTTCTTAAAATGTTTTAATATTTTGTTGGATTTCCTTTTACTTTTAAAACGTGATTTAATGTTCTTGGGATGGATTCGACTAATTTTTTTGTGATTTCTGGAGTGATTTTACCCCATTCTTCTTGAAGCAATGATTTTAATTGTTGTTTGAAGAAATGTTGTGTTTGCGAATTCTTGATTCCAATTCTTGCCAAATATTGTCTATGGGATTTAAGTCTGGAGATTGTGGTGGTGTTTTTATTATTTCAGGACAGTTATACAACAGCCAGAGTCTAACGTTCAAAGCAGTGTGCTTGGGGTCATTGTCCTGGTAGAATTTAAAATCGTTATGAAGGGTCAATTTTCGTGCTGAAGATTTCAAATTTTGATTTAAAATGTCAATATACTTGTACTGATCCATTATACTGTCAATAAAAACAAGATTACCAACTCCAGCGGACGACATACACCCCCATACCATAACTCCTCCTCCACCATGTTTTACTGTTGGCACCAAGTTCTGTTTGCGAAATTCTTTCCTGGGTTTTCTCTACACCAAGATTCTACCGTCAG